CATCAGTTAGGATGGCCAACATGCAAAAGACAAACAACAACAAATGTTGGCAAGAATGTGGAGAAAGGAGAACCCTCCCACACTGCTGATGGGCATGTAAATTGGTTGGTTCGACCATTGTGGAATGCAGTACAGAGGTTCCTCAAAAATCTCAAAATAGAAATACCATTTGACCTAGGAATTCCACTCCTAGGAATTTATCCCAAGAATGCAGGAGCCCATTTTGAAAAAGACATATGCACCCCTATGTTTATCGCAGCACTAGTTACAATAGCCAAGAAATGGAAGCAACCTAAGTGTCCATGAATGGATGAAGAAGATGTGGTACATCTAAACAATGGAATATTAATCAGCCATAAAAAGAAAATAAATCCTGCCTTTTGCAACATGGTCAGATCTAGAGGGTATTACGCTAAGTGAAATAAGCCAGGCGAAGAAAGCAAATACCTTGATTTCACTTGTTTGTGGAATATGAAAACAAAGCAGAACAGAAAGAACAAAACAGCATTAGACTCATAGATACTGAGAAGTGGCTAATGGGTACCAAGGGGGATGGGAGTGGATGGGGAGTAGGGGTACTGTTGAGCCACTGTGATGTACATTTGATGATTAAAAAAAACTTTTTTTTAAAATACTGAAATAAAAATAATGATGTAAGTAGGTTAAAAGTAAAAGGATAGGAATGACACAGCATGTACACACTAGTTAAGAGAAAACTAGAGTAGCAGTATTAGTATCAAAGTGGACTTTAAAGCAAGGAAAATTATCAGAAATAAAAGGGTCACTATATAACAATAAAAGGGTCAATTCACTAAAACAACATAACAATCCTGAATGTGTACGCATCCACCTAATGAAAGAGTCTCAAAGTAAATGAAGCAAAAAATAACTTAAAGGAGAAGTAAATCCACAAATACAGTTGAAGATGTCAATACTCCTTTACTGGTAATCAATAGAACAAGTGGTCAGAAAATCAGCCAGAATATTGAAGAAATGCACAACTATTAGCTTACTGGATTTAACTGACATTTACAGAACTGACATTTACACAACAGCAGAATATACATTCTTTTCCAAGTATACATGGGAAATTCGCCAAAAAAATGAACATACCAACCTTAATAAATTTAAAATAACTGAGATTATACAAATTATGTTCTCTGGTAGTAATGAATTGAATTAGAAATCATTAACAGACAACTGCAAAATATGCAAGTACATGGAAATTAAAACACTTCTAAGTAAGTCATAAATCAAAGACTAAGCCTCAAGAGGATTGTAAAGTATTTTAAACTGAAGGAAAATGAGCAATAATATCAGAATTTGTGGGGTGCACTTTGTGGAGTCCTTCGTATGGAGGGAAATATAGCATTAATAAGTGCTTATATAAGAAAAGAAAGGTCTCAAGTCAACAATTCAAATTTCCACTTTAAGAAACTAGAAAGAAGCAAAACAAAAGCAAACTTTAGAAAGGAAATAACAAATCAATGAAATTAAAGTAGGAAAAAAATGGAAAAAAAGTTAATGAAACCAAAATCTAGTTCTTTGAAATGATAATAAAACCGATCAACCTCTAGCCAAACTAACAAAGGAAAAAAAGACAAAAGGTACAAATTACCAATATCAGGAATGAAGGAGGAGTTATCACTACAGCTCCCACAGATATTAAGGGACTATGTCCAATAACCGTATGCATATAAACTACCAAAACTCACTCGAGAAAAATAATGTGAACAGTTCTGTAACTATTAAAAAAATGAAAACCTTACTTAGAAACCTGAAAATTTTTTCTAAGGAATAATCCTGGAGTTATTTCAATAGGAACTATTTTATTGAATTCATAGAGGAAAAACTCACAAACAACTTAAGAGAGTTTTCTTCTTTTAAGGAATACTTGCATTCATTCAGTGGCTTTATAATTCAAAAGTCTAATTTGTTTGCTATAAAAGAGATATCCATTGATAGGAATAGAAAATACATACTGTGCTCTATTCAAACTTTATCACTACTTCTTGATCTCTCATTAATGTGGACAGTATAGCCTCTCTTAAAGGATCTGTGCTTATCAAAGTAAATAAAAGATACTTTCTATTTTTACCAAGAAAATGATTGACTATACAAGATCAAACTACTAGTTGAATAACTATTCAATGACATACAGACTAATGATTAAATTATACAAAGCAGGACACCCCACTTCAAGTAACTGAAGTAATCCTTAAAAGTTGTGTAAAAATCAAGTATCTGATTTTAATAAAATGCTGAGAAGTGCTAGAGAAGTCTATTATTTATGAGTTGAATCATATGAAACTGCCAATTATCAACTGGTTTAACCCAGAATAACATAAGCATTCCTTGTTTTATGTATAAGATTCAGTGTTCTCTGATGGACAGTGAGTGACAGGGTATGGGGAGGGACTCGATAGTAAGGGTGAATGTAATAACCACATTGTTTTTCTTGTGAAACCTTCATGAGAGTGTATATCAGTACGTTAATAAAAAAAAGGGGGGAAAAATCATACAAGTGCATTCTCAGGACTAATTTTTTCTATAAGGGATAGATGCTCTTCTACATTTATTTAGTCTTAAAATCTTTTTTTCAGTGGTTAGCTGTACTCATCATTTGCAAACCTGCAGTCTTTCTGCTTTTGGTACAATATATAAAATGAGCAGAATTAGCGTGCTATATTTCTGCATTAAAGAGAAAAAAACTATAACTGTAGGTATATGTATTCTTTCACCAAATTATAAAATCAGAACTAAATAGCTAGTAATTAAACATTTATCATTGTCAATTAAAAAAAAAAGAAGAGTCAGTGTTTCCAAGAGTGCTAGTTACTCCTACCAGAATATTATAATGAATTACCTTGGATGTTGGGGACTGAAGTTCATTCAATATTTGCCAAATATACTCTGGAGATTTTTTACAACAAAGGTTATTTGCAAATCTAGGATATGAACATATACTAGGAAAGTACTTTACCTGGCTACAGAACCTTTGTTTTACTTCTACTTTTCAGGAGTCTTATTTTTAATTCTCAAAAAAACATAAGCCCTGTTACCTGAAGCATGGATTCACTATAGAATAAGGATTAAGATTCATGAAGGCTCAAAATATTGAAGAGACTGCAACAAAATTTCTAAGATCACGTCATTCATTGCTCAAAACCCTTCAGTACCTTCCTATCTCGCAGTTTCAAAGTTCTTACTATGAATGACCTATAGTCATTACCTACTATTCTCTTCCCTCTATCCCAGCAACCCTGAGAGTCTTGCTGTTCCTCAAGCATGCAAATATACTTCTTCCCCAGGGCCTTTTGATTAAAGAAAGCGGTTCCCGCTGCTAGGAATGCTCTTCTCAAAGACATCCACGTGGCTCAACTCATCTCCTTCAGATGTTTGCTTAAATGTAATCTTCTCAGAATGGTCTTTTCTGACCAACCTATTAAAAGTACCTCTACTAAAAGCCACTGTACATTTTTTTTCTGATGTATTGTCTGTCTTTCCACAGTAGAATATAAACTACAAGGAAGAGGCCTTTGTTATTTATTGCTATAACCCCAGTCTTGAATAGTATAGCAGGCTCAGTAAGAATCTGCTACACAAGATGTTGCAAAAAGATTATATATGCTTCCAATTAAAACTTCTGCCACAGATACTAAAAAAGACTAAGAAAATAGTTTTGTTTGGAATCATGCACGCTGTGCCACTTAGAATGAAACAACTACCCTTTAGAAGAAAATATGTCAATAAAATATATTAACGAACGAGTGGACTCCCTAAAGACAAAACATTAATTCTAACTGCACGCATGCTGCAAGTCTGTGGGTACTGAATGATTCGGTTTATCACACAAAACTGGCTAAATCATTTCCACACGAACCAAGAAATTCTGCCTAATAATACTTTAAGGAAAAATAAAAGCGGAGTTAACCTATTAATGATATACGAAAATTAGGAAATGCACAATATATTAATCAAAGCCTCACAGTACAGAGCATCGGAACTGGCAAGTGTTTGCCCCCAAGAAACACCGAGCGAGAAAGTCTGAGATGGACTGCACCCCTTTCCTTGCAGCCAAGCACGGAATCAACACTCAGTCCGAGGTGCAGGGGGCATGCGGTTTGGGAGCGCAAGGCCGGGACTCCGTGAAATGAGGGAGAGGCGTACGCGGACCACCCTCCTCTCTAAAGCATTTTGCTCAAAAGAAAAAGGGAGTGCTGACTGCTCCTACCGGTTCCCTAGGGGCTTGGGATAGAGCTGATGAGGGCAGACCCCTCCCCTTCCCCAAGGCAAGTCCAGGCCCCAGCACGGCTCCCCAGCCTCCGGCTCACCCGGCTCCCGGTTGATCTCGATATCGAAGTGACACTGCGGCCGGTCCTGCGCCCCCATCGCGCCCGAGGAAGTGGCAAGAGCTGGGAGAGAGGAGGAAAGCGGTCAGGGCGGGAGCTGGGGCGGAGCCCGCGCCGCTGTCGACTAGCGCCGGCCTGTCGCGACAGCACGGCAGGCCGAGCCGGTTCCCTCCCGCCTCCCAAGTACCGCGCACACCCACAAAGGTGAGCTCTTCACCTGGCTGGTCTCCAGCCCAAGCAGCTCCCGGTTAGCAGGGTAGAAAGCGCTGCCACCGCGGCCGGAGCCCAACGCCACTAACCGACCACCCCCACCTTGCCGGGGCCGGACCTCGCAGTGCCACGCTAAACCCCGCGAGAGTCGGAACAAATACCGCGAGAGAACAGTTTCAGCGGGTTGTTAACGGACCCGGACACGAGAACGTGGGCGTGTCTGGGCGCTCTTGAGCAGCTTCCAGCAGCTGGCGCTCCTATACCTGAACTGGTCCTTTTCTGCCCCGCCTCTCTTCCCTGTTACCATTGGAGACAGTCGCCCAGTCGGGGAGCCCTGAATGCGCTTGCGCTCTCTATTTCCTCTCATTCTTTCCGGAGGACCATGAGCTTCTGCGAGTTTCCCGGTACCGTCAGGTTTCCTTTTGTTATCAGCTGCGAACGAACTGTGAAGATTAAGTCATTGAAGTTTAGTAAACCGACAGATCTTTTGACTTATGTTCCAAATTCAAATCTTTTGTTGTTTGTGTATATATATATATAATTGGAAATATTTTCTCCTAATTTGGGTCTTGTTTTTTCATTGTCTTGATGGCGGCTTGTGCAAAGCAGTTTTAATTTGGTGAGTCATTCGATCAGTTTTTTCTTTCACAGCTTGTACTTTTCTATGCTTAGAAATCTCTGCCTACCCTAAGATCCTGAAGATTTTCTCTTATGCATTCTTCTTGAAGTTTTATATTTATAATCTTACCTTTTCCATGCAAGCCAATAATCTATTAGAACGTTTCATTATGATGTCAGGTAGAGGTTGACGTTCATTTTTTTCCCTATAGGGATATACAGTAGTTCCACCACCCTTTGTTGAGAATGATGCCGGGGTTCTTGCTCACGGAGTCGAAGAATGAACTTCGCAAACGCTAGGAGAACAAGTGAGAGGCTTTTATTTAGAGATAAAGTGACAGGACAGAGCTCCTGGCTCAGGCCAGAAGGGGACAAGAGAGCCCTGGGGTGGTGCACTGTCTAGGGGATTTATAGTCGGTTGAGAGACAGAGGGCTAGGGATGCAGACCCGCTAAATGGTCCCCAAATGCTCATCTTTGAAGAGACACTGAGTTTCTTACCAGTCTTCCAGATTATTCTGCAGAGTGAACTTAATAGAAGAAATTTACTCCTTTGATTCTTTCCCAGAATAGCAGCTTGGTCTGGAGCAGATTCTTGGTCTGGGAGTATATCAATCAAGACTGCCTGCTCTGCTCCCAAGGTGGGCTGTATTATTGTCTGTTATGGTAGGAAACCTATTTTTTGACTTACTGGGTTTTAAAATGCAATCTTATCTTTAAGATGGAGTCTTTCCTGTTTTTACTATATTGGTGACTAGGCTCCCTTGCCATATTAATTGCCCAGGTTGTAAATTACTTGATTAGGGGCTGGAGGAGGAAAAAAACAGCATCTGGGTAAAGTTAAAGAAAATAAGCTGGGCCTTTTAACAGGTTAAAGTAAATTTTTAAAAAACACGATTTAATTGACACAATGAAGATATGGGCTATGCTGATCTCATTTTCTTGTCTGGGAATATTCAAACATTCCAGGCCAAGTTACTCCTGGCTTTTTAGTTTTAACTAATCTCACTGAAAAATGCTTATATTCCTAGTTTGATATTTTACTTTAGAGAAATGTGACTCTGACTTAGCTTAATTGTTTAATACAGAGTTTTGGTAGGGGTCTTTTTCCAGAGGCCCTCACCCTTCTCTGACTACACCACAGGTCCTGTCTCAAAAAGGACATTATCCATTAAATTACCTTGGCTTTGTGACCACATATGTGTGGTTTTATTTCTGGACACTCTTTTGTTACATCGATCTATGTATCTATTTTTATGCCAGGACAATACTGTTTCTCTGTGTTTTTTATTTTTTTTGTAAAGTTTAACAACTTTAAATTGTAAAGTTACATTACATGAAATCATTTTTTACATGCACATTCAGAGACATTAGATATAGTCACAACCATCACTACCATCTATCTACAGAACATTTTCATCTTGCAAAACTGAACCGCTGTACACATTAAACAGTAACTCAGTCTCTCCTCTACCTAGCTTCTGGCAACCACTCCCTACTTTTTTTTTATTAACTCTACTGTGTTAAGAACACTTCACATGAGAACTACCATCCTAACAGATTTTAAGTGTATAATATGGTGGTGTTATCTATAGACACAATGTTGTACATATCTCATATAAGTGCAGTCATGCAGTGTGTGTCTGTTACCAGCTTATTTCACTTAGCATTATGTTCTCAAGGTTTATCTGTATTGTCACATCTTGTAGGATTTCCTTTGCTAAGGCTAAATAATATTCCATTGTATGTATATAGCACATTTTGCTTATCCGTTCATGTGAAGATGGGTGTACAAATATCTTCAAGATCCTACCTTTGGGTATATACCTAGAAGTGGAGTTACTGGGTCATAAGCTAATTCTATTTTTAATATTTTGAGGAACTGCCATACTATTTTCTGTGGCAACTTCAGTATTTTACATTCCCACCAGCAGTGCACAAGGATTCCAATTTCTCCACACCCTGACCAACACTTGTTATTTTCTGATTTTTTGGTAATCACCATCCTAGTGGATGTGCAGTGGCACACTTCTTCACTACTATAACTTTATAGTAAATTTCAAAATCAGGGTCACTTAGACTACTTAGTTTCTAACCTATTTCTGCAACTGTGCCACCTGTGTAAAGTGCAGTCAGACCTTTGGCACTTACACTCTATCCTGGAAGTGCTATCCCTGTCAGGTTGCTAAGAGTACAGTATCAGAGCAACAATCTCCTGGGTTTTACATTTGTAACCTAAGCTGAATTGAGAAGTTAGTGGTCTTGGATCTGATTTTTCTTAGTGTGTTACAACTAACCATTTACAGGTTTGAAATGTGTGTACATGCCTATTTGCAGATGGAATGGGTTGGTGGAGCTAACTTTCATACAAAGACTTGTGAAAGGAAAGGATGGGGAGCACTGCCCAGCTTTGTAATTACTGTGCTTTGGGGCAGCCAGCTTCAATCTAAGTAGGCTTTAGAGATTAGGAATGAAATACTTAATTTGGGGTACACTTAAAATGCTTTAAATTTCCTGGTATTCATTCTTATCTTGGTACTCCAGTAAGTCTCCTTCCTGCCACTGATTTTGTGATCTGGGACAAATCACTTTGATCTCCTGGAATTTACTTTCTTCATCTGCAAAATAAGCAGAATGTAAAATAATACCTACTACCTAAGTTCCCTCCTTGCTCAAAATTCTTTTATTCTGTCCTATGAGTTGAAATTGTATTTCAGATGATTTAAAAATAAGGTATGTTATTTGGTCTATAGCTAAGATGAAAAAACTGCTGGCACAAGGCAGCCCCTAGGGCTAGTATCCACCCAAAGGTCCAATAATCCTCCCTCACCCTCAACAGTGGTAGAAAATTGGTATCTGAGGAGTTTATAAACTCAGGCTTAATTTGGCTGTGGTTACCATGAAGGAGAACCCCTGGTGGTAGGAATTCTCAGGTAGTGATGCTCATGGTTAGCCTTTTAGAGTGGGGCTACACCAAGCAGGTGAAATTTCAGTGGATGGGACTGCAGCAAAACTGATAGGAGTGCTAGGTAGCAAGGAAACAGATGAAATAAGTAATTTTCTAGAAAATAGAAATTATCAAAATTGACTCAAAAGAAATAGAAGGCCTGAATAAACCAGTAACCATTGAAGAAATTGAATTAGCAATCCCTAATCTCCCTCCAAACAATTGTCAAAGACATTTGGACACAGTCAAATGGGAAATTTGATTATGGTCTAGATATTAGATGAAACCAAAGAAATATATTTCATTTTGTTAGATGTGATAATTAAATTTTGTTTATGTAAGAAAATGTCTTTGGTTTTTTTAGAGATGCATAGTGAGTATGTACAGATGGAAACACATGATGTCTGTCTGTGATTTGCTTTAAGATACTTCATTAAAGAAAAAAGAAAAAAGATTTTTAAATAGGTAAGTGAAACAGTTGTGACAAAATCATGGTAATTGTTTCATATAGGTGATATATATATAGGAATCTTTGAGCTGCATTCTCTACTTTTATATACCTTTGAAACTATTCATAATAAAACCATTAAAACAAACATGTTTTTCTTTCCCCAAAATACAATGTCCAGATTGTTTCATTGGGAAGTTTTACCAGACCCTTGAAAGATCAATAATCCTTTTCTCAAAGTATTTCAGAAAATAGACAAAAAAAAAAATACCTAACTTATCTTGTGACACCAAAACCAAAGAGAGGGCAAGAAAGTTCTAAACCAATACAGTTCAGCCTCAGGCAGGGATTCCTGCTGCACCTCCCCCCAAAAGTAGCTTTTACATTTTTATAACTTAGAAAAGGAAGAAAAGAGGTAAACAAAAGGAGAGAAAAGGAACCCAATGAGAAGATACATATACAATCCTACCTTATTTTATATTTTTTAATAAAAAGGTATCCTAGATCTTAAATGAGAAATTGTGCAGAAAACCATGCAATAGGCCTGAGATTGCTCTCTTTAGAAAGTCCTACTTAGAGGGTTGACCCTTGGGTGAAATATGGGAATGCAACTGGTAATCAGTTTCCTACATTTACAGAAAACATTCATAAAATGAGAGTGCCTAACTATGCCAAGAATATTTGTGTAAATCATATGGTTTATGCTGAATACCTGCTTTCCTTCTAGGAATCTGGAATTTTGGTATGTGCTAGACAGAGGCTGTGTAGGTGAACAACCCCCAGTATAAACTTTGGGTACTGAGTCTCTAAGGAATTTCCCTGGTAAACAACATTTCTCACATGTTGTCACAACTCGTCTCTGGAGGAATTGAGCTGGTCTTTTGTGACTCCACTGGGGGGAAAGGGGAAGCTTGAACCTGGGTTCCTCTAGGCATCCTCCATGTTCTTTTTTCCCTTTGCTGATTTTACTTTGTATTCTTTTGCTATAATAAATCATAGCTATGAGTACAACTGGTTGCTGAGTCCAGTGAGTCCTCCTAGCCAACCATCAGACCTAGAGGTAATCTTGCAACCCATGACACCAGAATTTGGTAACAAAATCTATACATACCGAAAATATGAAAACACAGTTTTTAAAATCCTAGATTTCTTATTTTGTGGAAAACAAGAAGTGGACAATTTCATGGGGTACAGAAAAATGTGTATTTTGATGGAATAACATTCTCCTGATATTAAATCAAGATCAGGTGGGCTTTCTCCATGTGGGCCAGGAGACATAGCCATGGCAGCCTCAAGCATACATCCTTATAACCTGGGGGTTAAGGGATGGATGAAATAGGTGAAGGGGAAAAATAATTAGAATGTTTGATATCTTCATCTGAGAGATGGTTACAGAAGTGCATATTTGTTTAAATTCATCAGGATGTACACAAGATTTGTGCATTTTCTCAATATAAAAAAATCTTAAATGTCTTCAATGAGAAAAGAAATACTCCTCCTGAGAATCCTTAGTGGAGAGTTGCCCCCAGGGGTGATGATTAGCCCCAGGTTCTTCTGACCTGCTACACCTCGACAAAGCATCTTTCAGTTTTAAGAAAAGATCTTCAGGAATAGAGATAAAGATATTGACTGCTGGGAGTCCGTTGGAGCCCAAAGGAATAAAGTTCAGTGAAATTGGAGTAAAGTTTAAGGAATGAAAGTGGGATGCTGGCACTTCTGCAACAACTGGCAATTTTTTGTTTGTGGACAAGAATGCTCAGGAATTAGAGTTTTGGTATGGTATGTGAGAAGCACTTGATAATTTCCATAAGGACTCCCTGCAGCCTCAACATCTGGACAATTTCTCAGGTATCTGTGATCCTGCATGGTGCTCTGGTCCACTCCTTGGTGGGGATCTTTTTTATCTTGGTAGATTTATTGGGAGCTTCCTGAAAATAGGGCCCTCACCCTCTAACTTCCTAACTGCAGAGCCCAGCACAAAGCCTGTTCACATTACAAATGAATGGTGACCACATACATAGTCCTCTGGAAGTGGACTCGAGTTAAAAACAGGTAGAATGAAGGGTCTGTGTATAGCTCCTTCTGCCATCACTTCCAGTTCCCTTGATAGTTGCATGTCTATCTACTGTTACTCATATTTCAGCTGCAATGCTACTACCTCTTTGGGTCACCCCTGACTTCATAAAGTAGCCACCCCAACACTCTGGCACATTACCGTTGTAATTCTCTGCAGAGCGCTTATTACCATGTGCAGCTTTTCTTGATTATTTATACTTTATTATCTGTCTCCCTCATAAACAGATTACTTATACCATATTATCTTTTACATTTATACAAGAATAAAGGTTCCATGATGGTAGGGACATTGTGTGGCTTCCTCACTGCAGTACACGCAGCACATACTAGTTGATCAGTATTTCTGGACTGAATGAATTTATCATAAACAGAGATGGAAGCAACCTCCCCTTGGATTGTCAGCTATTAAAGATTTAGGAAGGAAGGAAAGGTCCTAGAGACTGAAGAGAACATCTACTATGAGAGCTATCTGTAGGATTTTCATTGGGAATAGAAGTGACATTAACTTCTTAAAACTGCTTTTATTAAAATGGAATTGAATCAAACAATATATGTGTGATGTAGAGTAACAAAGATACTACGTACCCAGCTTAAGAAATATACTCAGATCGTCTTCAGTAATGAAGGTTTATTGCAAAGGTTCAGGGCCACATGAGATAGCAGTGATCATTCCCTTCCTAGCCATATCATTACTTGGAGTCGCCCAAGGTCAGAAGGTCAGACTGGGATGTCCAGAAGCCTCATGAAGAAGTAGAAAATAGCTTAAATTTTGTGGAATAAACCTGACCTCAAATTATTTGCTGTCTTTGTTTTAGCACCATATTCTCATCCCAGGAGAATGTGATACTTAGAGAGGTTGCCACAGTTGCAAATCCTGGGAAGCAGGCTCAGAAACTCAAATGAACAGATTCAGACCTTGTATAGGCTATTGGGGCATCAGCTTGACCCTGAGAGTTGAAAAAGGGCTGACAGGCTGAGTGGAGGTTTAACTCTTGAAGCAGGAGGTTCTCTGAGGGAAGAATGGTTTAGAGAGTCTGGTCTAGTTCTTTGCCTTTTTAAATTCCTCTTTCATTATACTGAGTTCTGGGTCTTTAAAGAGGGATGGCAGGATCTTCAGGCTGTCACTGAGGCAAATAGGTAGATTTGGACTGGGGCACATTAAATGATAGCTAGTAGGCTAGCATCTGCTTCTCCAGAGTGTCTCTCCAGAAAGGGGCCCACTGGAATGTAGGGTAAACTGTGGCTAAAGTAGCCTAAGGGGCTGTTCTCAGAGGCTCCTGGTCGGCCCAGATTCAGTCCTCGGCATGTGGACTCACATATCTGCCCAAGAGGCAAAGGAAGAATAACACTACAGGTCACAAGCTCCTTCTCTCAGAGGGAGAAGCTGGGCTTTGTTTTCAAGGCTATTCCCACTGCTACCCAAGAAGCTACACTTAAGTGTTGAAGGTCACACTGACTTGCTCAGAGACCCTACCCTCCACCCCCACGGGAGGCTCTGATGCCATCACAACCCCTCACCTGCCTCACCAGCAGTGGACGGTTCACCTGCTGGCAGAAGCCCACCTCAGGAGCTTCCCTGAGCTTTCTACTTTCTTCTGACTCCTCTGACATCTGGGGCCCACTTGGCCACAAAGGCTTCTTGTTAGTGTAGGAGCGCTAATTCCCCTGCAGGCCACCCCAACTAGTATCTCTCCGGTGGACACTTCTGGGACATTCCACATGCTTCTCAGTGGCTCCCCCCAGAATTGAGACCCTAGTTCTATAGCAGTAGCCTTGGTAACACACCCTTTAGGTGGCTTTTCCTCCTCTGTTTCACACTGCCCACTGCCTTACTCCTGCTTCCTGAGATCATCTCCCAAATAACTACCTGTGCCCAAAGCCTTGTGTCAGGTTGTGCATAGGGGCAGGCCAAACTGAAACATGAGCAGGCGCTCACATTCCAAAGCTAGACCCTATGTAAACAAGCCAAGTTGCCCTGGAAAGGAGCGCAGCTACCATCCCACTCCAGCTCATGTTTGACCTGTGGATCTGTAAGCTCAGCACTGCTAGAAATCCAGGCTTTAACGGGAAATTCTCCCATCTTTATATGTCAGCAACTAATTCAAAACTAAAAACACTGCACAGCACTCACCATATCTGCTGACCAGATTAGGTGTATGAGCAGCCCATTCAGCAGAGTATATGCACCAACCCCATGAACAGTGGGAGGAGACCATTAACAGGCTAGAAACGTAAGGATGGCAGAATGGGTCAGGGAGCATAGAAAAGTTCACCTCCCAGACTTGGGAAGGCCTTGATAACACACCACAGTGAACACAAGTGTTTACCACGTACTCTGCTCTCAACTGCATTATTTCAGTCTCACCATCTCCACAAACAGATACTGTGTTCATCCCCCTTTTAGACATGAGGAAATGAGTTTTCAGAGGCTGTGATAGATGAAATTCAAATCAAGGTCTCTCCTCACTATTTACACATTATAGTCTCCCTGGACTGCAATCCTTGACTCTAACAAAAAGAGCCAGGAGTGTGAAGTTCTACTTTTTGGTTCCCTTACAAGAATCTCTTTGCCTCACTTTACAAATAAGTCTCAAAAGATAAAAAATTCTTTATAAAACAAATCTAATAAAGACAGGAGTGATAAAATAGAAAGCCACCAGTGTGCAAACCCTAATGAAATAATAGATCAAAGCTGGTTAGATCATAATTTAAGTGAAAGGCTATTGGAAACCTGATAAATAAATCAGGTCACTTCCTGATGTGATGCAAAAGCAGGTACCTATCACCTCCAACTATGTGTTTTTACCAAAAATATTAGAACCTGAGTCTGAATGAGCCTTGAGATCTACCGGTTTACAGGAAAATTGGTGATAGTGGGTCATATTTAATGACACCACAGGAATACAATTAGGTGAGTCTAGAATGTGAGAAATTTTAGGGTAAATGAAGGGGAATTGTTAAGTATTTTTATTTTTAAAGAGACTTAAGGGACATCAGCAAAATGCAGTGTGTGATTGTTTGAATCGATTCAGACAAATCAACAAAGAAAGATTTTGTGATGATTTAAGAAAATTGAACATTGATGGTGTTCAGGACATGCTACTTCAAAATATGAGGCCTTGGCATATTAAATACTTTAAGCTGAGGGAACTGGAAAAATGGCAGGAGCTGGAAGGACTCCTGACCTTCTCCCAGGAAGCAGGTCATAAGACCCTCATATGAGAGGTGTTCTTCCTACCCTCCAGAAGAAAGGAGAATCCTTATCTCTAAAGATGGAGGGACACTGAGAATTTGAACAAAGGCCTGGCTAAGTTTCTCCCAGTTTACTACAGTTAGCTCATACCATTCTGTCCTGTCACATTTTCCCATGACTTTTCACTGTTCGTCACACTTAGTATAAAAACACTAAGGTTTAACTGTTTCTTTGGGTCCTTCTGAAGGCCCCCATATCCTATCAAAACATGTATTAAATAAATCTGTATTATTTCCTTTTGTTAGTCTACCTCTTGGTATAAAGCCCCAGCTGAAAACCTTAAAAAGAGAGAAGGAAAAAGATTTTTTCTCTCCTAAAACATCATCTGTTAGTAAGAATTACTATTAATTTTGTTAGCAAAGATAATGGTGTTGTGATAAATATTTTTAAGTCCTTAAGCGTTTTTTCTGGAAAATCAAGTGGAACACTTATTACATGAAAATGTCTATACCTCAATATCAGCCTTTCATGGAGAGGCAAGCTTTATTTCAAAGTAACCTGAAAAGAGCAGGCAGGAGGCCTGGAAGTACCACCTGGCAGGAGGGTACACAGAGCTGCATGTCCATTGGCAGGGTCTGGTCGGCAGTCTCACCAATTCCTGTTGTTGCCAAGACTTGCTCGATTTCCTCTTCAGGTTGAAACTGAAAAGACAAACCTGAAGATGCCCATGTTACCCTTGTTATCCAAACATGCCTATTTCAGGGAAGAGGACACCTGAAGTCAACATAATTGAGGGAAGTCAACATAATTGAGGGAATTTGCTTAATTATTAAAATAAATAAATACACTGAGAGTACAGTTAATTTAGTAGCTTTCCTCACATTTTCATTCTTAAAAGAGCCACAGGGGTTTTCATTCATGTTTTAAGACACTGAGTTGGTAAAGATCCTGTCTTCATTTCGTAGGAAATGGATCACATTCAAGTACTCCTCCCAACAGCCAACTGGAAGATTATTCCATTGCCTTTGAAGCACTGGTTGGGTTGGCATCTGCGATGGTAGCCAAATAAATGAGATTTCTATGTAACACATGCTGGTACCTATGAGTGAAAACCAGGCAAAAATTACAGGCTTGTTTTTACTGAAAATGGACAAAAAAGTAGAAAAGAATTTACCCACAGCAGTGAAAGGCTCATCCACTGACCAGATGGTTCAGTGTTACTGACCTTCCTGTTCAGCACATTCAAGGACAGCAGATCCTTGTTGAATCTTACTTGTTCTCACTCATCACTTCCACAGTTACCTCTCTAGGCCAAGCCACTATCGCTTCTTGCCTAGACTACTACTGGACCAGTGTCCTAACTGGTCTCCCTGCTCTACCTACTCTATTCCCTACATAGCAGCCTGAGTGATCATTGTATAATTTAAGTCAACATCATGTCATCCCTTTGCTTAAAATCCTCCATAGGCTCCCACCTCATGCTGTGCAGAGCTGAACCCATCCCATGGCCCTCAGGCCTCACATGACTGGGGTCTCTAGTCCTCTCTCTGATCTCAACTCCTACCACTTTGCCTTTGACTCACTGAGTTCTGGCCATAGTGGCTTCCTTTGCTGCAACTTGGAGATACACAGATGCTCCAGCCTGGGGGCTTTTTCACCTGATGTTTTTCTGCCTCACGTATCTGCATAGCTGGCTCCCTCACCTCAAGTGTCTATTCAAGTGTCACATCAGAGATACTCCTTATAAAATAGCTCCCCTTCCCCCACTTTCCCTGCAATATTCTTATTTGAAGCATGTATTGAAGCGTGCCTAATTACATGACTTCCTAGATTCTAGAGTCTAGAATGTAAGCTCCATGAGCACAGAGCCGGTACTTGTTTTGGTACTAGTGACTTCCTAGTAGCTGAAACAGTGCCTAGTACTCAGTAATAAATACAAAGTATCTGCTGAACAAGCTTAAGGAAGGGAGGAGGCACCTTTGTGACCAATATGAGCTTACTATAGCAGTGATGTTCAGTCAGGGAACAGAGCTGCAAATCACACCAGGGGACAGGAAGCATGGTCTGTGCAATGCAAAAAAGCCCAAGAGGAAATTTTGATAACCTTCTTACCCATAGCATAGGTTGAGAATCACTGCCTCAAATGAATATTTTGCAACTATTTTCCATATAGAGAAATGAAAAAGCATTACTATCAACTGTAAAAAAGCACATTGTCAAATGCTAGAATCAAATGTAAAGACTTATGCAAAAATGGGTATCTCTACCATTGACCTGTTTAGTGAGGGATTAAAGATAATATTTTCAAGAGTTGGGAAGAGATGGCTTTCTTAAGTAAGTCTTCAGTAACAATGAAATAATATATTTTTCTATAATTAATTGGGCATAATTCCTGGCCCAAATTTAGAAAAGAGGCTATTTAGTCTCATTTTGATATATGGCAAGAGAGCACATTAAATTGCTGTGCAGAATTTGCCTTTGACTTACCTTGGAAATCTCTTACTGGTTTTTGTGTGTGTTACAGACTGCAAGTTAGAAGTAGGAGGAAACTTAGCGGTCAAATGGTCTTACCCACTCACTTAAAATAAAAAAGGATAAGCTAGGTATCCATGATGAGAAAGCGGCCACCGCTCTCACCTCCTGAGAATTATTTCCTCCCCATCTCTGCTGTCATAAGCTGACGTGGCTTCAGGTAAGGAAGGTTTTGCAATGAGCATAATTCAAATTTTTAAGAAGGTGCCACGTCTGACTCCAGATTTCACAATGTACCGTCCGTATGGTCCTGGTCAGGTAAGGAACCTCTCTGAGCCCATCTGCGATCAATCATCCAAGACTCCTAGTTCAAGACAGCTGCTGTATCAGCTCACTGGCTTCCCCTCCACGCAAACGTCAGAGGAGGGGGCAGGGCACTTACTGGACGCACTCATTCGCCCGGCCTTTGTTCTGGTGCTCCAGGATACAGCGGATCAGCTGGTCATTCTCCTCCAGGAGCTGAAAGTTCAGAAAAAGGGTCAGTGCCGCGCGACATCAGGAAGGCGGGGAGACCTGTCCCCGCATCCCCCAATCCCCGCCCCCTACCAGGCGACCTTTCCGACCTGATTCCATCTCACTCCATACGCCTGCAGGTCAACACCCTATGCACACGTCAAGTCTCCGCCGGGATGCGATTCCAGAAAGCTTTTCGCACCCGCAGCCCCTCTTACGGATCTCGACTAAGGAACCTCTTTTCTTGGCCTGCGTTAGCGCTCACCCGCTGGATCGTCTCCTGATTGACTTCCGCCTTGCCTCTCAGCCAGTCCGGTACAAAGGCCACCGACATCCCGGGAAAGCAGGCTGGAAGATCGCCGCAGGACCGGCGGGCCCCAGCGTACCGAGAGCCAAGCAGCAGCTCCACACGCTCTAGGCTAGCAGCAGGGACTCGGGATAGGTGGGACACCTCCGCTCTAGGCGTTGATTGGGTCCTGCTGCTGACGGGAACTGGCGGAACGTTACTAGTGATTGGGCGCGCAAGAGGGAAGGTCAGCCCCGCCCCTGGGGCGCCGGAGCAGCTCGCGGATCTTCGCGTTTGCGCAGTATGGAAAGCTGGTCTAGGGCGGGGCTCGGTGTCAGCTCTGCGCCTTTTGTGCCCCGGGTACAGTGGGCCCTTCCTATCCCGTAGCCTGGGGCTAAGTCGTGGCTGGAACCCTGGTGATGTCTGGCTCCAAATCCACTTCTTTTTTAGACATCACTCTGGTGCCTCCAGGCCTGTATCTGGAGCATGAACCCTGGTCATTGCCTTCTGCCAAGCCAAACTCTGAAGGGCCAAGGAAAATACTGGTATCAGCTTTACTCTTTGCTGAGGGAGAAGTTTGCATATATGACTTTTTTTTCCTTTGGGCAATAATAATGGTTAATAGGTTTACAACCCTAAAAAGCACAATAATTTCCTCCATTTTACAGATGAGAAAACTGAGGTTAAATAACCTGCCCATGGTCTCATAGTTGCTAAAGACAAAGCCAGGATGTGAACACAGGCAGTCTGACTTTAGAATCCATGCTCATAACCACTACCCTACAGTCTGTGTACCGTCCTGCAGAAGTAGTTTGCTGCAAGATACAGAGAGGAAGCTGGGCCTACCGTCCTGGGCCACATAGTTACTGCTGGCAGCTACTAAAACTCTGAAGTAGTTGTCTCCTCTCTTGTCTAGCCCATCCATGCTGGACAAGGGAACAAGTTTGGTTTTCCCTGCAGCACAGATTGAGCAGCAGCCACATCATTTGGGAGGGAGATCTTGTAAGCCTTTACTTCTCAAATGGGGCCTTGGCAATTCTTCATTTTCCTGAGTAGTGGCCCTAACCCAAAGCAGCCTCACTTACTTTGCTGAGCTTTCCCTCCACAAACCCCTTATTATACCCTGTAAGAAGACAGCTTTCATCCCATTTTACAGAGGGATAAAACCCAGTGAGAGAAGGGGGCAACATGTCCGAGGTGGCCCAGGACCCAGGGCTTCCTGGTTCCCAAGCTTGTACTGTTAACTCCAAACTAAGTTCCCTCCCAGGGAAAAATTCCCTGAGGTTCCACAGCAAATGGAGTGAGCAGAGGAGGAGTCATCAGGATGTAAGCCTCGTTTAGTCCTTCTCACCCTAGTCCTGTTTAGACAAATGAGGAATGGCAATAACATGCGACGGTGTTAAGGTGGAGCAGGTGCAGGGGGCAGCCAGGTCCAGCATGAACGCTGGAAAGAGAAAGCCCTCCAGGAGAATAGATGTCTCAGTATGAAGAGGAAGTAGAAGTTACTACACAGGTGACAGTATCCAGATTTTGGATACTGGAGCAATGGGAACCATAGATGATTTCGAGCAGAACACAGGTGAAGTTGGGGATGCATTTTAAAGTTTTCTTGGCTGTAATACGGTGAAAGGCAGGAAGGGCAGCCAGATGAGAAGCAAAATGAACAGTGGGAAGGCTGCTCCAGGTGTGCTGAGCAGAAATGGTGGGAGCAAGGAAAAAAAGAAATGTGTGCATCTAAAAGACACTAGAGGTAGACTTGATAGGCTGTGACCTAATGGCAGAGGGAGGGAAAAGGAGAAATTAGGGATGACTTCCCAGGTTTTGGCTAGGGCAACTGAGAGACAGGGTGTGGCTCTGGGAGGAAGGGGATTCCCTGCCCAGGGCAAGTTGGCTGTGAATCTGCTGAGGCTGAAGACAAGGGTGAGAGGTTGGGGAAAGAGTTTTTTTAGTGCTTACTGCTTAGTCTCTCTCTCTCCCCGCCCCTCTCTCCCTCCCTCCCTTCCCCCGCCCTCCCCCTCTCTGTCTGCATGCTTTTCCTCCCCTTCTCATTTCCCTCTGCTCCCCAGCTCCATCCCCCTGTCCCCCTGGCCCAGTGCATGCCCTGCTTTTCCCCTCCCCTTCCTCTGGGAGGAACTCCGTGGGTGGAGCCCTGGTGACTGGCCACCACCTGACCAGTTATATACTAGGAACAGGAGGGGAGGAGAGAATAGCTGCTATTTTCCACTCCTTGGACCAGAGGGGAAGTCTTTGCACATGTTGATATGCAAACAGGCCCTTATATATGTATCACTATCAAGGCCAAGTGGGAAATTCTGGTTAAAACCTTACATTTACCCCACACAGGGGATGTTATTTGTGGAAGTGGAAACATTAGAACAGTTTTCTTATAATGAATTATAAAACTTTGATAGTTAAATTGTACTATCACTTATGAGGCATTTCTTCATTATTTTTGTGGACCTGAAAGAAGCTTTGTATACTTGTATTTTCCAGTCTCAGAGGAAGATTCTGAAGAGAAGGTCTAAAATATTTATAAATCAAAACCCAACTGAGTTAGAACACTGAAACAGCAGAGAAGAAACCTGACAGGAAGGAAGAGTGATCAATTCAGCTGTGGACATGCAATTTGAGGTGATGTCAAATGGAGATGAAGCGTGTGGCTGGCTATGCAGGTCTGGAACTCAGGGCCAAGGGCTGGGCTGGCAATATAAGCTTTTAGAAGAATCACTTGTGGAAAGTGGAACCATGAAGTAAATGAGACTGTCTAAGGAGAGTGAGTTGGTTTCTCTCATGGCAGAGGAAAAGCTGATACAAAGGAGAATGAGGGGAAAAAGAGATATAAGGAAATCCAGGATAGTGTGGGGTCATATAATTAAGTGACTGAGAAGGTGAGTTGGGACAGCAATAACAAATGCTGTTGAAAAGTCAAGCAAGATAAAGACTAGATCTTTGATGTCCTTAATGAGGGAAATTTCAGTTATGTGGTGAGGCAGAAGTCAGAATTGCAGGGGACTAAGAAATTAGGGGAGAGATAAAGCAATGGTGTCTTTAAACATAAGCCACTTTTTCCAAGAAGTTTGGCTATATAGGGGAAATGAGAAAAAGGTGGTAGTTGGAGGGACAGAAGCTGGTGGGACCTGAGGGACATCACTCTAATGGATGCTCTTCCTTCAGTGAAGGAGGCACCTGGGAGAGCAAGGCAGGTTGAAGAGTGGAAGATCTGGGGACCATCCAGGAGTTTTTGAAGGTGGGGTTGGAGAGAACTGGAGAGGGGGCTGACCTTCAAACACAGGACTGCTGGGCAATGTTGAGGTTGAGGCTGGCATTGTACACACAGCTATGATCTGTGTGGTTCTGAGATTTTGCCTAGAAGCACTTACAGCCAAGGAGCAGATTCAGAACAGGCAGAAGGCTGGATTTATCCAGGGTGCTTCCAGGAAGAAGTGATGGAAAAATAACTGCACAATGGAGGTAAGCACATTAGGAGGGATGTGATAGAAGTGAAGTACCCTGGACTTTGAGCTGATGGGGAAGGAAATGAAGACTAAAGGAAGATGATAAATAGAATGATGTAGAAGGACAAATGGACTGGAGGCCTCTGCAGGCCAAAGAACAGTTGAGGGGCATGTCAGGAACCAGATGTCTGCACTTACAGCTTCAGAAGGTGGAGCTTTTCTGTGGCGATGCAATGCCCCCAGCAGGGGTGGGATGAAGAAGCCTGGAAGAGAAAGCCTCTGAAGCCTGGAGCCAAAATGACCAATGACTGGAGAGGACAGCTAGGACTTCAGGTACCACATCTCATGCCTGTTGCCCAACTCACTTTGCTGCTGCCTGAGCCACACCAACAATACCAGCTCGAGGGTACAAGGTCCTATTGTAAAGCAATCACATTGTAGGTTTTCAGATCTCAAGAACCTGTATTTCACATTTGAGAGCTCTGGGTTTTTGTGGGTCTAGCCCCAGTTTTCCCCTTCCCATTTAAGCTAGAGCCTTGTATTTGATGACCTGTGGTGGGAAGAACAGGTCTTCATTTGCCTGTGTGAATGTACATTGGGAGGGAATCCTAGCCCCTTTCCTGGAACATACACTGTAGGGTTTTGAATCTCCTTTACCTACCAAATCTGGTTTTTCTTTGTGCCTTTTGTGAACTAGTCTCATGATCACTTGTCACACAGACCAACCCTTAATCAGTGTGGAAGGGGACTACCCAGGTGTGAATACCATGAAGCAGGAATCCCTGGAGGTCATCTTGGACTCTACAGTACCTCTATTCTGTTTCTATTTTCTAATCTTTCTCTGGCTATATAAGTAAGCCCTGCTTCACTTTCTACCTATGTGGTGATGACTTTCAAAAGTCTATGTCCAGCCCAGACCTCTACATTGAAATGCAACATGATTCAACTGCCTACTGACTACACTGACATCCCAACCAGAAATCTCAAAAGGGCTTCAAATTCTCCTTGTCTAAGATGCAACTAGGGAATACATTTTCTCTCCAAAATCATGGCAACAGAGTTCTCCATATCTATGAATCCCTCCACCATCCATCTACTAACTCAAGGCTGAACAGTGGCATCATCCTTGAAGCTACTTTTTCACCTTTTCACATCCAGTCCATCAATGGGTCTTGTTGATTTTGCTCCTATATTTATTTTTCTGAAAACTGCCCAGTTCTCTTCCAGCTTCATCTTTCCTTGCCCAAATGACTCCACTGGCTTCCCAGCTGGTCCTACCACAGCTTCCATAAGCCTTCTTCATTTTGATCTTAACTTCAGTGCCAAAGTGATTATTACAGAATCTAAATTTGATCAGTTTTTCACTGTCTTAAACTTTCTACCATGGCCTATAAGGTCCTACATGGTCTTACTTCTGTTATTCTCTCAAGTGGTTCTCTACTCCTTTACTCTCTAGACTCTTGAGTTTTCTTTCCTTTCATTTTTCTTTGGCAGAATATACATAACATAAAATTTATCATTTTGACCATTTTTAAATGTACAATTCTGTGACACTTAGTGCATTTACATTCTTGTACAACTATCACCACCATCCATTTCCAGGACTTACTTTTTCAGCTTTCCCAACTTAAATTCTGTGCCTAAACCCTCCCCTCTCTGGATTCTTTTCATCCCTCAAATTAGCACTGCTGCCTCTCATACGGAGTTCTTGATAGATACTATTCCGTCTGAAACACTCTCCTACCCTTTGCCTAGTTAGCTATTACTCAGCCGGTGTCACGTTCTCAGGCAAACCTCCTCGGACCCCCAAGTCCTGGCCAGAAGCTCCTGTAAATCTCTTTAACACTTTGCTCCTTTCACAAGAGCATGTATCTCAGTCTGTATTTATAGGCGTGTTGTGTAATGGCTGATGGGTGCTCTCACTCTTCCCTCCTCTAGTGTCAGGAGTTTCTCCCTGTGTCCCCAGTGCCTAGCATAGTTCCTGGCACACAGCATCTGTTCAAAATTTGTTTAATGAATAAGTGGACGAACTCTGCTTCCCAATCTCCCTGTAGCCATCCATCCGTCTGAGAGCCTTTGCCTCCAGACTGAGGTGTGTCCCTCCTGGGTCGGACTTTGGCGCCTCATCCAGGCTGGCAGGAGGCTGTGCCCTTTGGTTTGTTTATCTCGGGCCTCCAGCCCTGCCACGCTACTGCGGAACCCACGCCCTGGGCGCGTCACGCCGTCACGCTGAACCTCCCTACCTCCTCGGGTCAGTCCTGTCCGCTGCCGTGGGAGGCAGCGAGCTTAGACCGCGAAGCCTCCTGGCACCTCCGGACGTGGAAATTGCCGGCTTGGACCTCAAATCCACGCGGGTGAGAGCTGGGAGACAGGAAGAAAGTTGGGAGGTGCGCGCCCCAGCCACGCCCACTCCACATTTGGGTGGCAGCCCTTTAAGAACCACCTCTTTCAATTCTCCGCCGGGACCGGGGTGGAGATGCACCAGGATTGGACGCTTTGGGGTGTCGCTTAGCAGCAGCGAATGGAGGTTCAAGACTGGCGCATGCGCACAGTCGCTACCTGCCTGGGCAGCCCGTAACCCGAGGCCGGGTCCCAGTGGGTGAGGCAACGGGCGGCGCGGCAGGTGGGCGCCGACTCTCGGAGGCCGCGGTCGGGGCAAGGTGAGAGCCGGCCGGTGAAGGCGGGGAGGCACGGCCCGTTAGCCGAGAGCGGGTGGGGTTGGCTGCGGCGCAGGCGGGGCTGCAGGTGGAGGCGGCCCTAGCTCGCCCCGCCCTCAAGCCTGGACTGTCCCCACGGGGCTTGGTGGGGCCGTCCGTCCGCCTTCTGCCGGCTGCCCTCCAGCCCCAGGGGCTGCCCGAAGCACGCTTGCTTGCAGGAACCCTCAGTTCACGAGTGCAGGTCGAACGCTGCCCCCAGTGGGAGGAGAAGGGGTGTGTTCTGAAGACAAGGGGCGATTGATTAATTATCCACGAAGCTCACGTCAGAGTACTGTTTAAGAGCAAACTTCCCTTAGAGTGCGAATTTGTGAGACTTAGTTTACCAAATACTGGGTGTGCTGGACCAGTTTTTCTGAATATCAGTGTAGGAGGTGATGTACGTTTGCAACCATTATAGGCTTACACCTGTATCTCTAGAGCCAGAAGGATAAAGCACTTCGGGAAAAACTAGGTTTGTAGAAATCAAAGCCACAAAGCAATGTTCCTGTTGCTGAAAGTAACTGATGAAATCTGTGACATGGTCAGAAAAAAATAAAGCTCAGACCGATGGACAGGGTAAATCGTCATCAAATTTTACAAAGAGAGGAAAATCCTGAAAGTAATTTTAGTAAAATGAAAATGTAAATGATTGAAAGCGGTTTACTATTGCTGAGTGTAATTAAACTTGACAGTAATAGAGTTTGCTCTGGAAAATACATTTTAGGCATACCTCTGTGTTACAACTCAAAGGATATCTTGGGGTTGCAGAGGTTTTTATTCTCAGAAGGAGCCTTAGAACTCACTGCATCCAAAAGATGATTGATCGTCAGAGAGGAAAACCGACTTATTCAAAGTAATACAGTGAGTAAGGGGCACTTATAGCAAGTGTAGCCGTAGGCCTGGGCTCCTTCTATTAACGGGACTCTGATTAGTTTTTAGTATTAGTCCTCTAGAAGAAAGACTTTTTAATAGAGTAGCTATAATTCCAAAGATTGGATTTAAAGAAGCGAAATGTAGTGAAAAGATCATAGGCTTTTGACTATTTCAAGTAAGGAAGTTTGGGTTGAATTGTGGAGCTAATTTCCCACCTGTCCAATATATATTATGCCTGCCTCATAGTAGTAAGCATTAAATAACATTATCAGTGTGAAAGTTCCTAGTAAAATGCGTGTCATTGAACAGCATTATCATTGAAAAAGTTCCTAATACAGTGCCTGACATTTAACATTAGTTACTATCAGGTTCAGTCCCCTACTCTTCTTAGCTCCTAAAAAATGACAGAGTTGACTACCCCAAGCAACGAGAAACAAAGGAGCCTGCATAATCTACACATTAGGTAACCAGTTCAGAAGTCCTATGGCTGAAGGTGATAATTTTGTCTTATGTGTTGTGTATTGGAGGAGTGGGTAATATGGCTATGGTGAACACTTGTGTTTGAATATTTGTTTTGCAAGACCCAATAATTAAATGTTTTTCTCTCTCTCCCTTTCTTTTTGTTGCCCTTTTGGAGGGAAAAGGAGTTGAGGGGGGGTATGTGGTAGGGATTTGGGAGAGGGTTAAGGGTAAAGGAGAAAAAAAAGCCAGTGGGAGCAAGGGTGGCTTCCAACTAGATGCAAAGTCTTTGCTGGTAGAATAGGGATAATCTATGACATGAGCAGTTTATAAATAGATGATGAAAAGAGGATTAGGAGATGAGAGAGGCAGATTAAAATATAATTAAATTTTTTAAATTAATGTATGATTGATATACACTCTTATGAAGGTTTCACATGAAAAAACAATGTGGTTACTACATTCACCATATTATTAAGTTCCCACCCATACCCCAATGCAGTCACTGTCCATCAGTGCAGCAAGATGCCACAGATTCACTATGTACCTTCTCTGTGCTACACTGTTCTCCCCATGATCCACCATACCATGTGTACTAAACATAACACCCCTCAGTCCCCTTCTCCCTCCCTCCCCACCCTCCCACATCCCTCTAAAATATAATTTTATAAAACCTAGCAGTACTTTGGATGTTGTGTATTTGATTAGTACTTCAATTTCTACTTAAAAAAATTCCATCTATATAAACCTCTTTCATTTTTCTCCCCAACTGGAGGTTTACTATTGAAAATCATTCAAAATATAGATCAGAACATGGCAAAATCTGTAAATCCACATTTCTTGTTTCAGTTAGCAAATATATGGCAGCCCTTAGGACATTCATTTATTTGCATAGCAGTTTTTATTTCTCAGTTTTTTTACTGAGGGCTTCCTAAAATCTGCCAGGCATGGTGACACCTTACAAGGTCCACTGGCCTGTAGAAGGAGCTGGTAAGACCTGGAAGACAGGCCAGTGTTACCATGTGAGCACTCTTAGGCTGCCTTTGTCCTTGTGTAATTGATAATATTTTTTCTATAATTGTGACATGATTTTCCAGATTCATACCACTGCTTTCCTGTTGTAATCTGAATACTGGTTATCTGCAAGCAGCTTTTATTTTAATGAATCCTGAGATTATAGTACTTTCCAGTTTGAAAATGTCATGTAGTTATGGAGCTGCTCATTATAAATTATGCTCTTCAACACTTTTGCATAAATCATCAGAACTATAGCTAATTAGCAGAAAAGATTATTGATGTACTAGCAGAGATATTTTTAAATGACATTTAAAGATAAAAAGCAAGTATGAGCATAAGTTAATTAAGTGGTATAAAGATCTTATGTTAATACTTCTTTTTTCAACTTTTGTTTTGAAATAATTATCATCACAGGAAGTTGCAAAGATAATCCAGAGAGGTTTCATATACCATTTACCTAGTTTTCCCCATTGGTTATATATTATATAACTGTAATTTAACATCAAATCCAGGAAGTGGGCATCAATATAATGTGAATAGTTCTATGTCATTTTATCATATGTGTAGATTACATGTGTCACACATGTAACCACCCCAACAAGTCAAGATATTATCCATCACTGCAAAGATCTTCCTCTTGCTCTTCCTTTATAGTCACACTCATTCCTCTCCTCCCCATCATCCCTAACCCTTGGCAACCACTGATCAGTTCTCCATTGCTATAATATCATTTTGAGAATGGTACATAAAGGATTCACATAGTATGGTGACCTTTTGAGACTGGCTTTTTTCAGTCAACACAATGTTCTTTTTATTTATTTATCTTTTATTTTGGTGTCATTAATGCACAATTACATGAGCAACATTATGATTACTAGACTCCCCCCATTGTCAAGTCCCCACCAAATACCCTACTACAGATCACTGTCCATCAGCGTAGTAAGATGCTGTAGAATCACCGCTTGTCTTCTCTGTCAACACAGTATTCTTGAGATCCATGTAACTTGTTCTGTGTTCTCTGTGTTTTAATAGTTTGTTCCTTTTTATGGCTAAGTAGGAATTCACAGTATGAATGTGCTGTTTTGTTTAACCATTTACTATTTGTAGAACATTTTGGTTGTTTCTAGTTTTAGGCTGTTAAAAATAAACCTGTTATGAACAATTGAACACAGGTTTTTATACGGACATAAATTTTTATTTCTCTGGAATAAATGCCTAGGAGTGTGATTAATAGATAATATGGTAATTGCATGCTTAGTTTTTTAAAAAAATTTTTATTAAGGTATTATTGATATACACTCTTATGAAGGTTTCACATGAAAAAATGATGTGGTTACTACATTTACCCATATTATCAAGTCCCCACCCAATTCCCCAATGCAGTCACTGTCCATCATTATAGTAAGATGCCTCAGATTCACTATTTGCCTTCTCTTTTACGCTGTTTTCCTGGTGATCACCTACACCATATGTACTAAACATAACACCCCTCATTCCCCTTCTCCCTCCCCAACCCCTTCCCCACCCCTCCCCTTTGGTAAGCACTAATCCCTTCTTGGAGTCTCTGAGTCTGCTATTATTTTGTTCCTTCAGTTTTACTTTGTTGTTATACTCCACAAATGAGGGAAATCATTTGGCACTTATCTTTCTCTGCCTGGCTTATTTTACCGAGCATAATATCCTCCAGCTCCATCCATGTTGTTGCAAATGGTAGGATTTGTTTCTGTATATGTACCACATCATCTTTATCCATTCATCTACTGATGGACACTTAGGTTGATTCCATATCTTGGCTATTGTAAAAAGTGTTGCAATAAACATAGGGGTGCATATGTCTTTTTGAATCTGAGAAGTTGTATTGTTTGGGTAAATTCCAAGGAGTGGGATTCCTGGGTCAAATGGTATTTCTATTTTGAGTTTTTTGAGGAACCTTCATATTGCTTTCCACAATGGTTGAACTAGCTCATATTCCCACCATCAGTGTAGGAGGGTTCCCCTTTCTCCGCATCTTCACCAGCATTTGTTGTTCTTAGTCTCTTTGATGCTGGACATCCTTACTGGTGTGAGGTGATATCCCATTGTGGTTTTAATTTGCATATCCCTCATGATTAGTGATGTGGAGCATCTTTTCATATGTCTGTTGGCCATCTGAATTTCTTCTTTCGAAAACTGTCTCTTCATATCCTCTGCCCATTTTTTAAGGTTATTTGCTTTTTGGGTGTTGAGTCATCTGAGTTCTTTATATATTTTGGATGTTAAACCCTTGTCAGATTATGTCATTTACAAATATATTCTCCCATTCTATAGGATGCCTTTTTGTTCTGTTGATGGTGTCATTTGCTGTAAAGAAACTTAAGTTTGATGTAGTCCCATGTGTTCACTTGTGCCTTTGTTTTCCTTGTTCCAGAAGATGCATTCAGGAAGAAGTTGCTCATGCTTATATTCAGGGGATTTTTGCTTATGTTGTCTTCTAAGAGTTTTATGGTTTCATGACTTACATTCAGGTCTTTGATTGAGTTTACTTTTGTGTATGGGGTTAAACAATAATCCAATTTCATTCTCTTGCATGTAGCTGCCCAGTTTTGCCACCACCAGGTGTTGAAGAGGCTTTCATT